CACATCCCTCACATCTTGCAACTCTTTCTTGACATTTTCTTTTTCAACTGCATACCATGCAGGTATGAAGGTATTTGAGAGCATGTCTCCGCTGGGGGACTGATATCTGGGCTTTAAGGTGCTTATCATCTCCCTATAGTTGACATCATCAAACACAAAAAAGTAAAATTAGCATTATTTTATCATTGTTGCTTACTGTAAAAAGTTTTAAAAATTATCTAGGTTAAGACTACCTACAAACCTGGCCAACAGCCTTAATGGTAATATTACAACATAATTTACAGCTTACTGTACTTACCTCCACCATGAAGCCTCCACAGTAGAAAAAGGCAGCAAACCTTTAACAATAAAATTTGTAACGGCCCTGTGGCATTCATCTTTCCTTTCTTTGTTCATTTTTACTTTTTCTGCCAGTGTAAATGGATTATCACTTGATGGTCTCCGATTTCCATGGTCAGCACGAGCAGAGACTATAACATTAATGTGAAGAAAACATGAAAGCTAAACTGTTAATGCAGCCAAGGATAAGGACATTTAAATAAGAAGTTTAATGTGAGGTAAACTTCATCATTTACTGTTAACCTTAAAGCATTTTAGTATCAACTTAGCTAGGTATTTAAAGTCATCGAAACAGTACATAACGTTACACAGCGTACGTTAGGTCCGAAAAAGGATTAATAAATTGACCCCGCACAAACTTAAACTTAACTTTAACGGTGCACAAGCATGAAGCGCTAAAAGTTAGCTGATTTTGTATGTCTGTTTACCTGTCGGAGCCCCAGCCATCGCGCCGTTATCCTCATCAGTCACGGAGGACGACGCTTGTGGTGGGCATGTTGTTGGAGGCCCTGAGTCAGGAAAATACTGAGAGGATGATGATGACTGCACCGGCGTGATCTTCTTGCAGTCAAACACGGAGCAACTTTCTGCTCGTAAATTAATTCCGTGTACTGTCAGGTGTTTTATCATATTTGACGTGTTGCCAGTCTTGGACGCGATAACCTTTTTACAAATATTGCATCGCACGCTGTTGCCGTCAATCTTGACATAATGTAGCCATACTTTTGATCGCTTAAACATTGTTTGCGTTAAATTTATGCTACTGTATGCTTTAAAGTGTAGTGTACATTACAGCGTCACAGTAGACAAGCTCTGGGCGAGTGGGCGTAACCGCCGTAAACTATTAGGTGCGTTCGAGATGCACTACACTAGCCTGCCACCGGCTGACGAGAGCTGCCCCTTGCAGTCGGGGGAGGAGTAAAGAAACGGCCGTCAGGTCGGACACTTATAGGTTTCCGTAGTGTGCTGAATCAATGTCATTATGGCAGACCACGCGATTTTTGCCTTGATCGTAGCGGAA